CGCAGAAGGGCTGCTTGTCCCCGGAGCAGGGCGGCGTGGGGCCGGGGGCCGGTGAGTGGCCGCCCAGCACAGCGGACCCAGGGGGGACCGGCTGGCAGCCCGAGCCCGAACTGTCTGCCTCTCGGGAGCCAGCCGGTCTTGCACGCTCGCACCCTAAGAGGAGGGGCCGAGAGGGGACACGACGTGGAGAAGGGCCTGGATCAGCCGCTGGGATGCTGCTGCTCATCCGCCCTTCCTAGGGCTGCATCTTCCAGGAAGCCTCGCCTCACCTCGTTTCTCCTCAGCTTTTATCAGCCCAGAGGTTTCAAGTTTCCCTTCTGCCTAGGAAGGTCACCAGCACAAGGGCACTTGGCTGCAGAGAAATAGCAGAATCTTCACCCCAAGGGGCACTCTGGACACCCTGATCTTCGGCATCTCCCTGTTTCTTGGTTGAGATGCGCAGGCCAAAAAAGGCAGGCTCTCAAGTGCTTGTCTGCTCAGGCCCTGTCTTGCTCCAAAGCTTTGAGTGATTCCTTTGGCCCACAGACCAGATCCCACATGTCTCAGCCTGACAACCAAACCCCAGAGGATTTGGTCCCTCCCTGACCCTTCTGTAATGACAGCTGCCCCTATCCAAGGATTCCTTTCCTGCAGGGGCCACATGTGTCAGAACTAGGCTGAAAAGGAGACTTAGTAACCTGGGGCTTAGAGAGCCCAGAGGGTATGGGATTCCTGGAAGGGTGGAGCAGAGGATCCTGTCTGCTTCCTGTCCAGGACTGGAAGGGGACAGAAGGCAGAGAATAACCTCATTCCAGATTCTGGGGCTTTCTCAGCTTCCTGGGCTCCCATCCGGGGCACCTGGTTCACCAGGGGCCAGGACCTCTGGCTCAGATGAGTTTTCCTAGTTCCGTCTTCCTAGTTCCCCCTCTGCCACCTCCCACCTGAAGCTACTTCAGGTGAAGCATGCATTTGATGGTCCTGAGGGCATCAAAGTGGGGTAAAGAATTGTGAGCTAGGAAAGAACATCTTAGCTCTCACCTCTGGCTCCTGCTGATGAGCCATTGATGCTTTATCGCCTTAGGTTAAGGTATTATCTCTAAAAGGACTCCTTGAAAGCACATTTATGGGGCTGCTGGTAGGGGAAGTGTTATGGCAGCAGCGTTCAGTTCAACCCAGAGTGTATTTACATATGCTTAGGTGCTCCCAGTTCCTTGTGTGGGAGGCAATATAAATCAGACAAAAGGATTGACTCCTGCTCAGCCTAGTGAGGAGAGCATCACGTGATTAGTTTCTCCGCTCCACTGGCTGTTGCCTAGCAGAGAACAGGCCTTGTGAAGGTGGGACTTGGGACCGATTTGTTTTGATGTGTGGGAGGAAGGAAAAGTCCTTAAGTAGCCCCTTCCCAAAGATAAAGGAGTAGTGTTAGTCAAGACAAGTATTTGTTGGTCCTTAAGGCACTAAAGTAGGTGAAGAACTGTGAGCTGGGAAGGAACATCTTAGCCCTGAAAAGGATGGAGCCACTGCAAGGGGAGGTGGGCAGAAGGTACACCTGGCCGAGTTCACTCCACGTGCGGCTGTCCTGCCAGACCCGGCTGGTATTCCTTGACTGCCTCTGCTCTCTTGTCTCAGATGCACCTCAGAGCTGGTCCTCCTGCTTCTGCCACGGCCTTATCAGTTTCCTGGGTTTCTTGTTGCTGATGATCACCTTCCCCATTTCTGGCTGGTTTGCCCTAAAGGTAAGGCTGGCTGGGTCAGCCCCCCGGGGTGGTTGGGCCACGTTGAGAGCTTTGGCATTGGTGGGTGGATTCCTTATCCTCTGCCCCTCCCCCTAGATATTATCACACCTCTGTGAAATGGGCTGGGCAAGAATTGTTCATTCTCACCTTTCAGATGAAGAAATTGAGGCTCAGACTTGTCCAGAGTTATACTGGGAACCAGTAAGTGGTAGGAACATGTCTTCCCAAACTCCCAAGTCTGGGGGTCTGGGCACTGGCTTTAAGGTGCCCACAGATACCATTGCCAAATCTTCGTCCTTTTGGGTTAGGCTAAATTAGAAGTGAAAAACACTCGACTTGGCTCAGTAAGTGATGAATAATAGGAGTTCAGGCCTTGTTTTCAACAAAGGATGGTGCAGGTGGGAAAGTATGTGCTATAGCTGAGAATCGCACCTGACAGCTGCAGTGAAGCCTCCCTTTGTGCGGCCCCAAGCAACAGTCGGCTTCTGTAGAAAGCTTGGGGCTTGGTGTGGTCTGGAAGGGAGTCCTTAGTAGGTCCTAAATCCTAGTCCTAAAGCTGCTAGTGAAACAAATATCATGTGGCTTTAGGCAAGTCACTGCCTCTCTGGGCCTTCATTCCTAATTTGGACACATTTCCTTCTTTGAGGACTCCAGGAACCTAAAGTTGGCAAAGCCCTTTGCTCGGGTTGCTGTTAGAGCAGCCCAGCTTTTCCCTTAAGTATGACAAGGGCAGATGGTTTCCTGGTTTGAGTCATGTCAAGCTTCAGGCACACGGGTGAAAAGTTTTGCTGAGGATCAAGTCAATACAGTGAGGCAGGTGAGAGCATGACTTTTGGAGTCATTCAGAACTGCATTCATATCTTTCCTGTTTCACCTGGGGACTTTGTGATTTTTGAGCAAGTCACTTAACCTCTCAAAGCCGTGGTTTACTCATCTGAAAACAGAGCTCAGGATACCTGACACTGAGCAAGGCCAGGGGAGAGAACGAGGGAGGGACCTGGGCAGGTGTCATTGTCAGCATCAGCTCAGCGCTTTCAACCCTTTCCCTCGCTACCATGGACAGATCGTGCCCACCTATGAGCGCATGATCGTGTTTCGACTGGGCCGCATCCGCACCCCTCAAGGACCCGGCATGGTTCTGCTCCTGCCCTTCATTGACTCTTTTCAGAGGGTGGATCTGAGGACACGAGCCTTCAGTGTCCCTCCCTGCAAGGTGAGGGGCTTCTCGGCTCTCCTGGACAGAGGAGTGGGAGCTTGTGCAGGGTGCAGTGTGGGTGCCAGTACCTTGGCCAATGAGTAGTCATCAGGGGCGGGGCGTGGGAAAGACACCAGAAAACGGAGGAGGGAGGCTGGGAGGACACCCTTGCTCCATATACCTAACCTGGGGACAACATTTTGCTCTTAAGAGCTAGAGACCAGGCAGGCGGGCAGGTGGGTCAAGCTGGGTGCTCTCAGCGGGCCTGGCCTCCCTCTTTCACGGCCCCCCCAATAGCTGGCCTCTAAGGACGGGGCTGTGTTGTCCGTGGGGGCCGACGTCCAGTTCCGCATCTGGGACCCGGTGCTGTCAGTGATGACAGTGAAGGACCTGAACACAGCCACGCGCATGACGGCTCAGAACGCCATGACCAAGGCCCTGCTCAAGAGGCCTCTACGGGAGATCCAGATGGAGAAGCTCAAGATCAGCGACCAGCTCCTGGTAGGCAGCTCCGCACAGGGCAGAGTTGGGCGACCGGCAGCCGGCCCGGCGCTGCCTGCCAGGGCACTTTGAGCAAAGCACCAGATCACTCTGGGCCTCAGTTTACCTTATGTCCCAAGTGGGTGACAACTTTTGAAGAGCCTGTGGTCTGAGTGGGACTGTTAGTTGAGAGAGGGAGGATGGGCACAGACCATAGTGACCTTGGGCAAACCTGTCCCTGAGAGGAGACGGGGCTGGGACAGGGGAGTGGCCTGGCAGAAATTATGGGGCCTCCCCCCCCCGATTGCCCTTGCCTTTATCCTCCACTGCTGTGCAGCTGTTACCATGACAACACCGCGCCTCAGAGGCACTGAGCATTCTCACGGGGGAAGCAGGTGGGTGAAAGGAGTAGGGCCCTCCTGGCCCAGTCACCCTCTGAGCAATTCCATGCTCCCCAGGACAGCATGTGCATTTTTGTGGTTTTGTGTTCTTTGTTCTGAACAGAACAAAAGGGACATGAGGACATTTTGGACTTTTTTTACTGCCTCTTCTCCATGTGTGAGCAGTTATCTGCGCTGGAATTCACCTCAAATCCCTTCTGTGACTAGATGGGGTAGTAATGAACATACACGTGGCAGCGTGTCCCCAGCTCCCCACTCTCCCCGTGGTTGAAGTTTCCCCTCCTTCCCCTCAGCTCTGCTTTCCCCGGGGTTAGAGGACGGGAGGGGGCAGGGGCGGTGCCAGTTCTGGTGGTTCCAGTCCCTTCAAGAAGTAAGTCAACCAACTGGGTGAAGTTCTCAAGACTCTATTTGCGATGTAAGGGTTGCTCTCACGTGTGTAGCATTTTGTAGTTTAAAGAGTCCTCTTGCCCACCTCAGTGTACCTCAGCTTTACATTTTACTGCAAGAAGGCCAGTGTTACTGTTTTATTTTGGAGGAGGGACACTGAGGCTCAGAAGTTATTTGACTTGCCTCAGAGAGCCATGGTCACGGGCAGAGCTGGAATAGCTGCCCCACCCCCAGCCCGGTGCTCAGTCATATACAACTCTGATCACAAGCTGGGAACAAGTTTTATTCGTGAAACCACACTTCATTTAAATTTACCTTTAGGAAGAGAACACTGATCTCGGCCTCGCTGCACATTGCTTTAGTGCAGCAAAGCCAGGAGAGGCAGTTTGGGGAGTCAGTCCCACACCAGAGCGTTAGAGTCGTGTGGGGCCGTCCCCAGGCCGAGCTGGCTCCTGGTAAAGTGGGGTCAGCTCCTGGTTAAAATGGAACTTCAGGAGATCTAGCATGCTCCCTGGTTCAGGCAGACATTTCTCATTCTCACTCCCCCTTCTGCCTACTTCTCATCTGGAGAGGATTGCACACTCTCCACCTCTTGCTTGCTGGGCCCTCCTTGGCTGCTTACCCACTCATGCTCCAAGCCAGCCGCTTCACCCCTCACCACCCTGGCCCAGCCGCCCCCACTGCCACCCCTACACCCGCTTCACCACAGGCCTTGCCTCTTAATCCTCAGGAGAACACACTCTAGGACCAGAACTCTTTCAGCTTCCTCCAGCATCACCCCTTCAAACGCATTTACATCTGTGCTATTTGTCCTGCCTCTCTGGAAGCATCTGCTTCCTCTGAGGTTCCTTACTGCACCGGGCTCGGCTCCCTCCCTCTGTTCATCCTCCTCCTTGCCTTTCCGCATAGACACACGCTCTCCCTTTGCCCCAGTCCCTCTCTGACTCACCCCCTCCCCTGTTTCCTTCCTCCCCCCGTTTCCTTCCTCCCCTCCTGTCCTTAGTCTAGTCTCCTCTCCAGGGTCCTAAGACAGACTACACTGCCAACCTCATGGTGACCTCCCTCTGGCCCACACAGAGGGCACTTCTCAGTCCTTCCCTTCCTTCCTTCACCTGGTGGCAGCCTTGGACTCCCTGCACCCACCCTTCTCTTTCTCTCGGATCCTCTGCTTCCCCGGGCTTCCGTTATTCTACACACCTGGTTATTCTGTGTTCCCAGGTTTCTATCAATGGCCTCTTCTCATCTATGACCTTCCGGGATTGCTTATCCACCCAGGACTTTCTGCTACTGCTGGACACCAATTATTCAGAACAGTGATCCAGCCTGACTCTGTCCTATACCCTGAACTCACATATCCAACTGCCTATTGTCTCACAGACACCTCAAGCTTAATGTATTAAAGTCATCATCCCTTGCTACCCACCCCCAAACCTGTGCCTTCCTCTGTGTGTGCTCTCTGGGTGAACACCCACACTCCCGGTCCACGCAGGGACCCACGCTGGAAACCTGACTCCTTCGACTCCCCACCACCTCCCTGTCTCTGCACGTCCGGGTTCTGCTTCTCTAGTGTCCTGCAGCTTAGTGCTGTTTGTGGAGTTATGCCCCTCCCTTGGTGTAGCTTGGCTCGCAGCCGCCTCTCTGCCTGACACCAGATCTGCATCATTTCTGCCTGCAATTGGAAACATCCTACCTGGTCTCCATGCCTCCACCCTCTGCCGCTGCAATCCAGTGTCCACCCCACCAGCCAAGAGGATCTTTCCAACCAGTAAGACTGCTCTGTTGCTCTCCTGTTAAACTCCCCTCTGGGGCTCTTTGTGCCTCAGAACAAATCCAGGTGAGCGGGAGCAGCCGCCTCGGGCCTCGCTGGCCCCACCTCCCAGCCCAGGTGAGGTCCAGCTAGGTGGAACTCTGGTTACTAATGCCAGTTCCCCAGGCATTCCTGCTTCTCTCTGGGCTTTTGCACATGCTGTTCCCATTGCCTGGGAGGGTCTTCCTTCCCTTTATGCCACTTCACCTGGATAGCTCCTCCTCCTCCCGGCCTCACTCTCTCCTCCCTGCTCCTCACTCTCCCGGACCTCCAGGTCGGTCAGGCCCTCTCCTGACTGCTCACTACCAACTGCCTACCACTAGGTTGTAATTGCCCCCATCCAGGCTGGGAGCTTCTCAAGGGCAGGCCTGGCACCTCATGTGCCTCATGTCCCTGTGTGGCCATACCAGCCCACCTAAAGAAGGTGTCTGGAATGATTTGTTGAATGAGTTCCATTTCTCCCCACACTGTCTTCCAGCTGGAGATCAACGATGTGACCAGGGCCTGGGGGCTGGAGGTGGACCGCGTGGAGCTGGCGGTGGAGGCCGTGCTCCAGCTGCCCCAGGACAGCCCGACTGGGCCCAACCTGGACAGCACCCTGCAGCAGCTGGCCCTCCACTTCCTGGGAGGAGGCACGTCCTCAGCGGCAGGAGGTGCCCCGCGCCCCGGGCCAGGTGAGGGGCCTCAAGGAAAGGGTGAAGGTGCTCTCCAGGGCGCTCAGCTTGGTGTCCAGCGCAGGCTCAGCTTTGCTGCTTGCTCCCTTAACCAGGCACCTTGTGCAGTGCGCGCCCTGCCCAGCTGTTCAGCCCACTCTGATTTTAGAGCTGACTAGCGCTGAGGTGGTGAGAAGAGTCCAGGTGTCTGAGTGTGTGGAGTCCTTTGGGAGCCTCCGTGGGAGGAAGTGGCAGCATCCAGAAAAGAGTTTTGGGTTCAAGGCTGGAGGAGCTTAGAATGGGGTTTGGGTCATGGCTGAAAACTCTGTGGCAGCTTCTTAGCAGACGAGGAAGCTGAACACAGGTCTGAAGGGGATACGAGGGAACTGCTGTAAAGGTACAGAGAACAAGGTGATCCTGACCTTGGCAGCACATTGACCTTCTCTCTGCCTCCCCCCCCATCCTGTTGGCCACCCCCAGCAGATACCTTGGAGATGGTGAGTGAGGTTGAGCCGCCTGCCCCTCATGGTGCCGGGCCCAGCCCCAAGCAGCCCGTGGCCGAGGGGCTGCTGACCGCTCTGAAGCCTTTCCTGTCTGAGGCCCTGGTCAGCCAGGTCGGGGCCTGCTACCAGTTCAATGTCGTCCTGCCCAGTGGCACCCAGAGCATCTACTTCCTGGACCTCACCACAGGTGCATCTGCCCTCCCTGCCCTCTCCTTCCCACCCAGGCTGCTCGTGGGCTCCCACCCACCGTGGTCCCTTTTCAGACTGGGCCCTGTTCCCGTTAATAGTTGAGGGTGAACCCATAGCAGTCAGAAGCTCAGACACAATGTGCAGACAGTGACTCTCTAGGCCTCCGTCTCCCTGCCCTGTCCTCGTCAGCAGCACAGCTCAGGTGGCCACGCCTCCTATACCAAGAGCTGCTGCTCGTGCCACGTCTGTGCTCGGCGCTTTTTGTGCACCTGCTTCTCATCAGGAGCCTGTAATTTAGGGATTGTCATCATCCCTGTTTCACCAATTGGAAACTGAGGCTCTGAGTGATCACACAGCCAATGGGACTTGAAGCCAGGGTACTAGAATCTGAGCTCTTAGCCACTATTTTCCACCTGTCCCAGTGAGTCATGCTAACCCTCCCTGCCCCCGCCCCCAGCACAGCTGTCCCCCTACTAATGCTCAGTTTTCTCTCCCCCTACAGGGCAAGGGAGGGTGGGACACGGGGTCCCTGATGGTATCCCTGACGTGGTGGTGGAGGTGGCCGAGGCAGACCTGCGGGCCCTGTTGTGCAGGGAGCTGCGGCCCCTGGGCGCTTACATGAGCGGGCGGCTGAAGGTGAAGGGCGACCTGGCCGTGGCCATGAAGCTGGAGGCTGTCCTCAGGGCCTTGAAGTAGCAAGCTTGGCTGACTGGCCATAGCCCAGCCCTGAGCCTGGTACCGAGCCAGGGGGCGCATCTTGGAGGAGGAGGCATTGGCACTACACCTTGGATTACTGAGGCCCTGAGAAGTTTCAGGCTCAGCGGGGGCCAGTGAGTGGGGGCTGGGAGAGGCCGAGTCAGGCGGCCGTGCCCTTCTCACCCACAGTGGTTCTCTGGACAAGCCTTTGCCCACCCTGGTCCTCTGCCCAGGGCCCAGCCTGAGCTGGGTACACAGCACGATGACAGGAGAGCCAGACCTGTTCTGCTCTGCTGGCCACCTGACTGGAGAGGCAGGGCCAACAGAAACAGCCTGACAGCAGCCGGTTTGGAACCAGTGTGAGGGAGCAATGCATGTGGCTCAAGCTCAGAGCTCAGGGTGGGAGGGAGTAGGGAGGGCTGGAGAGGCAGCCACCTAGAAGAGGTCCCTGTAGTGGGAGGGCTCTGGCAGTCGGGCTGGGCCCACCTTGCTGATTGCAGTCCAGGCCCAGGCTAGTGGGGGGGGTGGGAGTGGGGAAGAGTAGGGCCTGGCCCTCCCCTGGTCCTGCTCCTGAAGGGATCTTGAGCCTTCTGCCAGCTCTTTCTTGCATGCCTGGCGGGCTGGGCCGCAGGGCAGCATGAGGAGAGCCCTGCCATTCCTGTGCATCCTACTGGAGGTTTGAAAACATCAAATAAATGTGGTGTTTACAACTTACTGGAGAGAAGTGGGTTGTGAGGGTGGGTAAGGGTTCCCAAGGTGAAGCCCTGCTGCCAGGCTGGGGCCCCAGCCCCGAAGGTTGACAAGCCCTGACACAAGCCTTGAATCACCCACAGTTCCCCTTCCTGCCAAAGGTCTTGAAGCCCCTGGGATAGGAGCAGGGCGCACTGTTCCTCTTTGTAGTCAGGGGAGAGGTTTGCCAGGAAAGAGTAGGTGTGGGTGTGACAGAGCTGGTCTGGTAAACGTTAACCTGGTGAGGGGCAGGGCGGGGCTCCTGTCACTTTCAGGAGAGGAGTCAGGCCGGGGTCAGCTGTCCCTCCTGTTACACCTCAGGTCACTGTTTCCCCGCTGTTCCCGCCCAAACCCCAGGCGCCCTAGAGAAGGGGGCCTTAGATGTTGAAAGTTCTAAGAAATGAATCTCACTTCCTGGAGAGGCTTGTGAAAAAAAAAAACCCTGGAATATGAGCCTCCTCTTTGAGGAACAGCTTCTGGCTTGTCCTCTGGCACCAGGCCTTCCCCCTCAGGGCCTCCCCAGCTGCCTTGGCACTGGGCTCTACCCAGTTTGCCCTTTTGTTCCTGCCAGTGTCGGCCTTGTCCCTTTTCTCGTAGGTCCTCATAGCGTGGACCAAACCGCAGTTGGGTTCAGCTTTCAGCCCCAGGGCCCTTCCCTGGAGGCCAGAACCGCAGGCTGCTGCCCCCGCTCTGTCCCTTTCTCCACTTCCCTGGAGCCGCCCAGCCAGGGCTGCCTGTTCGGAAGCCTTCCCTCCAGTCCCGCGGGTCACACTCCCACAGCCCATGAGCCCTAGTGGGACGTGGTCTCCTGTGCTCTCACCTGGGCTCCCCCTCTAATTTGGGACTGTCATCGTGCCCATTTCCCACTGTCTGTGTCACTGTTCTTGCAGAAGTGCCTGTCCTTCCTGCTGGACCGTGAGCTTCCTGCCTGAGCCATTCGCAGCTCTTCCCTCTGCTGCTGCAGAACGCAGTGCCCCAGGTGTCAGAGGGGGAGCCCCAGGCATCTTCCTCCTGAAGGCTTAAGGGAAACCGAAACTCACGTTCTCTCTTTGGTTCAGAGGGTCTGTGTAACCAGGGGAAACTGAAACTTCTAGATGTCTGTGTGGGTGGAGAGCAGGGCCTGCCACCAGCCCGGCAGCCTTTAATACCCTCATCCTGTTGGGAGCTCATTGTTTGGTGAGGCCAGCCCTCCAGGAAAGGGAGCCCACAGGTTCAAGGCCTCTGAACAGACCTTGCAGTCCACAGCGGGTGACAAGGGGACAACCAGGCCCGGGTGTAGGGAGGGAGGGAACAAGTGTTGATCAGAGGAGGTGATGCCAAGACCGGCAGCTGTGGGGATGAGAGGAGGAGATGGGGGAAGGGCACTGGGCGGAGAGGAAAGCCCCTGCGAGGGCGAGGGCGAGGGCGAGGGCGAGGGCGAGGGCGAGGGCGCACAGGAAGAGGCAGCCCGGCCCCAGTCTGGGGAACTGGAACCTGAAGTCTGAGTGGGCCTGTGCAGGGGTTTGCGGGGAGGGGATGAGCAGTAGGTGTTACTGGGTGCCAGGTGTGCCCTGCACTGCTCTAGACACTGCGTTTTTCCCTCGAGGTAACCTGATGAATGATGATAATGAAAATAGTTACCACACGCTATGTTGGTATATAATATATAATGGATTATTCTGATGTCATTTTTAAAATAAGTCATTTTGAATAGGTCGTACAGTCACATGGTTGGAACGTTTTAAAAGATGAGAAAAGCATGCTGTGAAAAGTGCCCCTCATCCCCCTGACTCCGCGTAGTTCCACCCTTGCTTCAAACAGGAACCCCTGGTATTAGTTTCTTGATTATTCTTCCAGACGTTGGGTTTTTTAAAAAAATACATTTACAAGAAAATTAAATATTATTTTCTGGGGCTTTTTTGTTTTTTGTTTTTTTCTTTTTTACACAAATGACAACACAGTGTTGATTTGTTCGCTTCCCATTACACTTGGGAATCTTTCCAGGTTAGCACACCTAGACTTCCCCCGTTCAGTTTTGTAGTTACATAGGATTCCACTGTGTGCATGTATCATAATTAATTTAACATGGCTCGCGTTGATGGACGTTTAGATTATGTTTTTCTATTTCGAACAGCGTTGCAGTAATAACCTTTCACATATGCTATTTCAGCTGTGGTTGAAGTTCACCTGTGGGATAAAGTCCTAGAAGAGAAATTTCTAGGTCAAAGTATTTAATTTAATGAATATTGTCCAAATGCCTTCTTTGGAGGTTATTCCAATTTATACTCGCATCATCAGTGATTGAGAGTCTGTTTTTCCTCATAGCCATGCGAACACAGCATGTTACTAAACTTCTGGATTTTTTGACAGTCTGGTAAGTGAAAAATTATATCTCAGTATAGCTTTTTTTAATTGCTCAGTTGTTTATTGCTTTTTTATTTTTAAATGTTTTTAAATGTATTTTATAAAAATTTTTTGTGAGTGGGCGAGGGTAATTAGGTTTATTTATCTTTAACAGAGGTACTGGGGATTGAACCCAGGACCTCGTGCATCCTAAGCATGCGCTCTACGACTTAAGCTATACCCTCCCCGCCTATTGCTTTTTAAGACTTGGATTTTTGGTCCCACTAAAAGCACAAGGTTTTTGCTGTCTTCCTCCAGCATTTACTTTTTTTAAACGTATAATTTAATGTAATAAAATGCACCCACTTTAAACGTGCTTGATGTGTTTTGACAAATGTGAACACCGTGTAACCACCAGCCCCACCACAATCAGGATACAGAACGTTTCCATCAACTCACATGGTTCCCTGTGTCCCTTCCATGTCAGTCCTCACTGCCCGTCTGCCCCTAACCCATTCCTCCCGCCCCCGGCCCAGGTCTCCACTTTCTGTAACTGTTGATTACATTTCACTTTCCTCGAATTTCATACAGTGAAGCCAGACCATGTGGACCCTTTCCTGTCTCGCCTCTTTCTCTCCCTGGAGTGTTTTTGGGAGCCGTCTGTGTTACTGTGTGTGTCTGTAGTTTGTTCCTTTGTATTGGTAGTGCTACTCTCTTTATGGATAGATGCACAATTTATTCCGCCGTTGATGGATATTTGAGCAGTTTTCAGTTTTGATTATCGAAGCTCTGAACATCTGTCTGTGCACGAGTCTTTTATGGACGTACGTTTTCATTTGGGTAAATACTTAGGAGTAGAATTTATGGGTCAAGAAGCTGCCAAACCAATTCCAGAGCAGCTGTGCCGGCAGCACTTGGTGGCGTCGATCTTTCCCAGCAAGCGTGACGGGTGCTTTTGGGCCTCTCTTCACGTGCCCACTGGGCACGTCTTCTTTTGTCAAGTGTCTGGTCAAACAGTTTTTTCTCCACTTAAAAAATGGCTTATTTATCTCATTGGCATAGTAGTGGTATTAGCTTTAAGAGTTATTAGTATCTCCTGGTTACACGTCTTTTAGCAGATGAGTGTATTTGTTATATGTGCCCCCAGTCTGTAGCTTACCTTTCTAACTTAATGCTTTAACTTGAAAAGCAACAGCTTTTAACTTTGATGAAGTCCAGTCTGTGATTTTTTGATGGTTAGGGTTTCATCTTGGAAAGCTCTACTCATCTTAAGGTCTTGAAAAATTTCCCCCATGTCCTTTTCTAAAAGTTTATAGATTCAGCTCTTACTTTTAGGCCTGTGATCCATTTTGACTTACTTTTGGTGTATGGTATGAAATAAAAGGTTGAGATGTCCTCCCTCCATGGGTATTCAGTTGTTCTAGAACTTCTCGTTGAAAAGATGTATTTTCCCTATTGAATCACCTCAAAACTTTCCAATTTTCATTTCTCTCATTTTGACTGAAGTTGAACAGTTTATAAGACGTCGAAGAGCCGTCGTGCTTCCTTACCTGTGAACTGTTACTTCGTCTACTTTGTCCACTTTTCTAGTGTTGGTTGTTCCTGGTTTTATTTTGACATCTGGGAGCTCTTTAAATATTAGGGAGAGGAGATGTTTTTTGATGTGAATCGTACCTTGTTTTACCCCATTTACTTGTGTTTTGACTTTGCTTACGATATTTTTCCAGGAAATTTAACAAATGTGTTTGAATTGATATATATCTGATCTTATGGCTTTTAGATTTTTAATTTCCATTCTGAGATCATAAGGGAATTCCAGGTACTCCCATCATTGTGCTTTTTACATGTAGCTGTTTGAGCCACTTGGGATCTAAATGAGCATAAAATACAGCTCCATGTTTCTTTCAACACCGTGTATTTCTGCTTGTCTTGGGGCCTCACTCTGGGCTTTCTGTTCTGTTCCGTTGGACTACTGTTTGTCCGTGTACTGGGGCCACATGGTTTTCATTATTAAGACTCTATGAAATGTTTAGTATCTGTAAGATTCTTTTCAGTGCTTGAGAACTTCTTCCTGCCTATTCTTGCTGTTTTTCAAATAAACTTTAGAATTACCCAGTGTAGTTAAAAAAATTTGTATCTATTGGGATCACGTTAACAGTGTGAAGTAATGCAGAAAATTGCAACCCTTATGATACTGAGTCTTCTGATCCGTGAACGTGGCTTGTTTTTGTGTCTTTTCTTCTGTTCAGAAGTTTTACAGTGTTCTTCGTATTGGTCTTGAACATTTCTTATTAAGTTTATTCCCAGGCACTTTATCTTTTCTGATACTCCTATAAGTGGGGTCTTTCCTTTCATTACATTATCCGACCAGAATGCAATGTACTGCTCTGTAGGAATTCTGTACCTTACTAACTTAATTCTTCCCTTACTATTTTTATTCAGAGGGCTTCATCCTCAATATACAATCACCTGCAAATGTTGATAACGTCGCCTCCTTATTTCAGTGCTTTAAAATGCTTTCTCTTGTGTGGTTGCATTGGCTAGCATGGAGGTGGGTATTTTGAAGATGGAAGCCAGAGGGTGTGATGCTGATTCGAAAGACCTAGTAGGGAGGGTGAGAGGGAGATTCTAGAGGAAGAGAAGGGAATAGGTCCCTGAGCCCTGATGGAGGAGGGAGTAGCTGTGGACAAAAAGAGTGACATCTCACCCTGGAGAAAAAGGGTGGAAGTGAGGGTGGAGGCAAAATCCACCCAGCACACCCTGCGCAGCCTAGCACACGGGGTGCAGTGGGGTGGGGGGCGCGGCTCCGGGATCGCCATTAACTGTAACAGTTTCAAGGAAAAGAAGTGCTGCTGGTAAAATCGTAGTCCTCGGGTCACTCACACAGGACTTCCTGGGTTAGCCCCTTGGTGGAGCCTCCAAGCCAAAACCATGACGTGAGAGTGAAGGCGGGGGTGCCTGGGGAGATCTGGGTATCAGATGAATGGAAGCTGGAAGGAGAAAGTTTCTGGCTTCTCCTGGTGAGTGGTTCTTGATTCCCATCCTAGGCCAAGTGGAGTCCAGCTCCCCAGCCCGGACAGCAAGTCTTTTAGTGATGACCTCAGGCCAGCATCCTCAAGGCTGACAAGGAGAAGCTGGGAGTGCGAGGTGAGCCTCCAGGGCCAGGCAGGGACAGTCCTGGAGAACTGCAGGGCGCAGAGCTGGAAGGGAGCTAGAAATGATCCATCCACAGGTGGAAAGACTGAGGCCCAGAGAAAACCTTCCCAGAGGGATTTGTGGGAGGGCTGGGCCCCAAACCTTTGTCTCATGGCCTCTCAGCCCATGACTCTGACATTGCACACTGGGGACTCTAGGGCAGTGGGATTGGCTTAGAATAAACGTCTCAAGATCCTGGGGCTTTGTGTTGCTCTGCTGAGCCTGACTCCACTGTACCAGGGTATGTGTGGACGGAGCAGGGGTGGACAGAGGCACATTCTCCATCTGCTGCCCCAGGTTCTCTGCCTCTCAGTCAGGAGACAGCCTGGAGAGAGAGAGGAGGGGAGAGGGAGGGAGGGGAAAGGAACCCGCCCACCACAGCCGTCTGCTGGGAATGTCTTCTGCTGGACTGTGGCTCCTGTGTGCTTTCATTGCCTTTCCGTGTGTCAGGCACCGGCAGGTTTTTACCATGGACTTGTTGAATAAGATGAAGGAGCATTAGATTTGCTGAGGCGGATGGAGGTAGAGAGAGACAGACGGAGGACAGAGGGAGAGGAATGGGGTGGGGAGAGAGGAGAGGCAGAGAGATGGAGAGAGGATACAGAACAGCAGGGAGACAGGCACAGCGAGGGAGTAGGAGCCAAACCCCTGCGCCTGCCACAGGGGTGCAAACAGAGCCCCGAGGGACACCCCAAGGGGCAGAGTCGCCCCCAGGAGCAGCAGATGCTGTGAGGAGGGCTCCCAGGGGCCTCCTGCGGTGCCTTGTCCTCCTGGTCTGAATCCCCTCTCCCTGAACAGGGGCCATAGAAGCCCAGTCACGGGCTTGTGGCACTATCTTGTGGCGATTTGGGGGATAGCTGGCTTTCTCCTTCCAGATGCGCTCTCAGGGCTGGGAAGCATTTTAGGGGGCAGTGGGGTTCCCTCCCTGCAGAGAAGTGAAGAGCAGAACCAGCACCTTGCCTGGGGTTCCCATACTCATTCACACGTGCTCACATCCCTGCATCCTCCCTGGCCAGGGCTGGGCAGAGCGGCGATGGGGAGCTGCGCAGGGAGGGAAGTGGGGAGCAGGAAGGTGAGGATTTGGCCAGGAGAACTGGGGGAGGTTGACTAGCACAATTGGGAAACTGTAGACCCTGGATTTAAATCTGTGAAATGGGGCTAATTATGCCCAAGGCCATTTTAAGACCTTCCTAGGATGAGATGCTGTTAGTTTTGGAGGTTCCTCCCCAAATCAATTATTAAAATGCACAGAATTGCTGCATTAAATATAACATATTACTGTAAAATAATATGAAGTGGTTTTTGTAGGTTTATCTTGGAGATTATTTGGCTAAGAGTAATTCATTCACAGTGTAATTATCTGCAAGTTTGCAGCACTCTGTGGGCATTCATTTGCATTCTGGAAGTACTCTGAGAGTTTAAGAATGAATCTACAAATTAATCAAATATAATGAACCTCTTATGAACACTGCATTTAATAATTAAAGAAGGTGACACAGTTAATGACATAAATGAACCACTGACAACATTTTGTAGATATTTGATTAAACATTTATTAATTCGGGTTATTCTATAGTTTTTGCATTTTGGAGCCAGACTTTTCTCAGGTTTTAAACATTTATCTAGGTTCCTGAGACGCTAACAGACTCTGGGCCCTGTGTCCCTTGGGACCACCTTACCTGAACAGTAAGTGGCCCTGATAACACCTACTCTGTAAGGG